TTTAAGCGGTCAAAACAGTGAACAGGGGCATCCAAACACAAAACAAGAAGGCAAGAAAGAAAAGTTCCGACCCGTAACCGAACGTGTGTTCATCTAGACTGTGGAGCGGGAATGATCTCCACAAAATTGAATCAAATAGCGTTTGTTTGTTTTCCGTTTCGTTTTGGTTCCTTTTATTACTGCAAGATAGTTTTCATAATGTTGTTTAGGTATGATGAAATCATAAAAATGACATCATACATCTTGGATCCGCCATCTTGGATTGCTGGTATTTTTCAGAAAAAAAGGAAAGAAAATCTAAGGACGTGAAGTCACGTTATGTTCCCCAATAACTTTGAAAAGTCACGACATTTGGCCACTATTGCTGTTGAACTCACACTTATTGAGCCCCGCCACGCACCCCCCCCCCCCCCCCCCCCCCAATATTGGCATCAAACTGCTGTTGACTGTATCCACACGGTCGGTTTTCCGTAATTCCGTAAATTACGTCACTCTGGTTGGCTGAGAGCTGGCCGAATAATTTATCGTTATTCTTTTTAATTTGCATTCCAAAGCTAATTACTACAGGCGCATTCGTAATTTCCTCACTCATGAAATAAATGTGTAATCGTATGAAAACTCGAGCGATCGAAGCTTTGCACCACTCGTCTTCTTAGTCTGAGAATACTTTCAAATGGCACCCGCCTTAAGGCTGGAGCACTGAATTTTGTGAGAATTTCCAAACGTCACTCGTAATGCAAATCACCTAAACCCCTTACTGATAGTCTAGCTCCGCATAAAAAGAGTATTTACAAACAAAGATGCATGGACATATAAAACTCTGCCTTATTACACTCGCTAGCCAGGAACCTGGACTTCTTCTTTCTCTTTCTCGAGTTGTTCAAAGGCTGGAAAACGCTATCCACCGGATAAATCACTATCCAGTGGATATGTGCTGAAAAAACAAACCACGCTATCCACTGGATAGTGGGTTAGATGTTGATAGCGTTATCCACCTTTCGAACAACCCACGCCTGAGATCTAATGCCGAGTTCACACTTGGTGCCCAAGCACTGGTGCCTGGGCAGTTGCACAAAATAGTGTTGCGTTCAGACGTGGTTTAATCTAAAGACCCTACTACCATTTCATGCCCGAGTACAAGTTCGAGACCCTGCACCCAGGCTCGAGCACTGTACCTGAATTCTGGTGTGGGTACTTGGAAAAAAGGTTTGTTCACACATGCCCAACAAGAATCATACTCTAGCACCATTCTGAGCACCAAGTGTGAATATAGCCTAAGAAATGAAAATAGTATAAAAAGTACATCAAGTGAAATTTAATCTATTGGGCAGTACCTGTTTTCCGTAAAAGTGCGAATCCCCTAAGAAAGATCCACGTGATCCCGTGAACGAAAACATGGGCAGTGGAACAGGAATGGGAACGTTGACGCCAATCTGAGGAAAAAAATTTAACGTAAATAAACCGTACAAATTCTTTTCTCACTTGCCAAATAACTGAATTTAATCCTCTCTGTGTACCATTTCTGGGACGATATCTACGTTACAACTTTGTTCCATGCTAGAAGCTTACGATAACCCTACGGCACAAATTGAATGCTGCAAATCAAAGTTCGTCTTTGCGCGATTAAATTGACTTCTTTAATCTTTAACAACCAGCCTCTTCCAGGCGTTCAATTAGTTGGGGCGCAGCGCGAAAAAATAAAAAAAGCGCGGAGAGGAAGAGGCTAGGAAGAGATTATTTAACAAATTACTCCTAACATAGTGTGAAAAACTATAACAGGAGAATTACAAATACATAAAATTAATACAAGATATCCTTCATCATCGCTTAACTGCTGTTCACATGTATGTTCGCATTTTAATCCTGCACAAACACATTCACGCAATATGTCTCGTTATTTCTACTCCCCGCTGGATGAGATGCTAAACCATCGCAGGGCTACCCCCGGCATTAAATTCGCCGGTACCCATTAGTACACCTGGGTACAGAGAGGCACTGTGAGAGTTCAGTGTGTTGCCCAATAACACAACACAGTGTCCCCGGCCAGGGCTCGGGCCCGGACCGCTCGATCCGGAGGCGAGCGCACTAACTTTGAAGTCACCGCGCCTCCACGTAAGCCCTAAATGGGGGATTAACTCCGTGACCTTTCATCTTTTCTTGTATGAAACAAAACAACACGCAATGAAGATCTAAAACACACCTGTCCAACATCGACTTTGTGTTGGTATTTTCGTGCGATCGCTCCAGAGTTCGTGAAGATGGCGGTACCATTACCATAGGGGTTTTTGTTCACTATGTCAATGGCCTTGAATTCAAGAAAAAACAAAACTCGGTAAATTTAGTATGTCACTGTTACGGCTCGAGGAGAGCTGGATTTAAAATGTAAATGGAGAGGAATACGTTACAAAGTGAAACATCATTTCATGCTACTTGTAGAATTAAGCTCTGTCCAACTGGTGTTACGAACAAACAAACCGACCGACGAACGAAAGAACTAACGAACGAACGAACCCAAGCACGAACGAGTAACTTTGTAGTAAACTTCTTTTAATGTTAGTAAGACTGTGAGAGATTTCGGTATTGCATCCAAAAAATCTCACCCACTTTATTCTCGTCGCCTGTATGCCTTAAAATGTATTGATATTACGAGGGAAAAATACTTGTTGATCATTCAGGGTACCTCATCCAGTGTGTCCACATTCATAGTGATCAAAACAGGTCCAAAGATCTCCTCTTTATAACACGTCATTTCCGGCTAAAATAGGAGGGTAAAAAAAACAGTTAATACCTCGATGATATTTTGAGCTTTACATCCTTATAGAAGAAATTCTAGGATTGTTAGCGGTGTAAGTGTTTATTTTCGGCAGCGAGAAGTCTACTCGATCAAAGTACACAGGCGCCTATTCTTGATAAAGAAAAAAGGTGTTGCTCGTAAAAACAAGGATGCATATTGCTTCATGGAAATCGTGCTAAGAACCTTTTGCAATGACTGAAGTAAAACTAAAATCAGAGTAATCACATCTGACCAATCACAAGGAATGTAAATAACTCAATGAGCCGATCAGAACTCGAAGCCATAGCACGCAAAAGTTGCAAAGCGCGGGAAAACGCGCGCCAGCCACATCATGGTTGGCGTGCCTGTGATTGACTGAAAAAAACTGCACCTTTGCTTGCTCCTATTGGCTAAAACACGTTGGTTGCACGATGTTTTGTAACCAATCAAAGAGCTCAGCTGAGTACACTCAGAAACTGGCTAGTCACGTTTACTTACTGTAACATTAGACACGATGGTTGGTGCAATAAAGTTTCCTTTCTCAAAACCCTTTACTTTCACGTCACGGCCATCCAACTCAATCTAGAGAAGGGAAACAGAATTTTTTCGTTTAGAAATTTGTATTCAAAGTGTTGCCAGGCCTTGTATCTGCTATCATTAAAATGTTCAAAAGTTATGGTGTGACTCGGATATTTAAAACTAGCATTGACAAAATTTTACCCGTGAAAATGTTTTACGCGTGCTTTTAATCGTTTAAATAGGTGGTCCAAGCAAGGCTGAAATTGGAAAAGCGGACAGTTCTATCAGTGCCATGCAATTAAGTACAAATTACTTATACATCATTGCGTTATCCCAAGAAGAAACATGAAACCGTTAACGTGCGGTTTCTCTCGGCTTCCTACATTTCCGATCGATAGGCTTGCGAGAACATACCGACTGCTGTCGGAATTTCACTCCGAAAATTCCGCCCATTCAGGTTACCTTAGCTCCCTGTTCAGCACCAGACTGCACCAGACTACAGATACGTTCTTTTGATGCCGGAGAAATAACAGGTCCAAGGTCAGCACCTGGCTGATGACCTACAGAAATGAAATGAAGACAGCTTTTTACTTGCACTGAGGTTTGGAGTTACATTCTCATTAATCAAAGAAACGTTCAGTTTGAAATAAATATATATGACTGGTTTATGAAAACCATGTCTGAATACTTTGAACCAAATCACCCATATGCACTTTGATTTCACGACTCCTCAAGGCCTTAAAATCACTCCAAGCGATGAAAACAAAAAAAATAGAGAGAAAAGAGCAAGAAAAGGAACATAAGAAAGTGGAGGGAAAAAAAGACTGACATTCCGTCTTGAGCCTGGTTTTCACTAGCGACACAAGTACAAGGGCAAGCACAATAATTCTTATTTCAACGTGAAAACGGCCTTGACGCAGGCATAAGCACCAGCGCAAGCGCAAGTTTCCACAAATTTCTCTTCATTTAGTTTAGATTGTGGGAAATGTACATTCAGGGGCACCCAACGACCGTTTTCTCTCTAATGCTGTTAGATGCTGTTTTAGGCTATCTGGAGTACTTTTAAAGCTCTGTAGGTTAATTTTAGGTT